GACGTTCCAGCGGGGCGAGTCCCAGGCCTCTCCAGGACTCGCTCTGACGGTAATTCTGTACGAATTCCTCTCCCAGGGTAGCAAAGGTTGCCCCCTGCATCCCAGCTCAACCCGTTGCAATGGGAGACCTAGCACTGGAGTGAGACGGGGGCTATTTGTGCACCCAGCAGCGAAAGCAGCATTCCCATGCCCACACCGGGTACCGGCGAGGTCCGTGCCGACGTGAGCCCCTCGGCGGGGAGGGGCCACTTCAGTGGGCCGATTGGATTTGTCTGTTGAAGCGTTTGATGTTACATGAAGGCAGCTCATTCCGGAGGATGTTAATTGCCCGTTGCAGTGATCAGATCTGTAGCACCATCGATCTCAGCGGGATCAATGGACTGATTTAGTGTCTTACTAACTCTTTAGCTGGACACCTCATCAATAGCCAGCCACTTACCGGCCCTCCGCACATTAACACGGGTCGTGCTGCCGAGATCCCGCCCTGCCCTGGTCGCCAGCTGCCACTCATGGCTGAGTTTTCTTGCAGGTGAAGACTTGGACCTAAGCTTTGGAGCCAGGCCAGCCGCCGGCCCACAAATAGAGATGATACCTGCTCAGTGCAGGTTCTCACGGCTCTGCCGGGTGAAAGGGGGGCTGCTCTGGACAGACTGCTGCCCAAGGACAGCGAACTACATGAGCACGTGGGGGACACCCGCATGGACCCTGAGGACTGGGTGAGAGATAAAGGGGAAGGCTGAATTGAGGAAGAAGGGGAATGGATGTTGGGTGGCTACATAATGGGTAGCAGGTTTAAAACTAATAAAAGGAAGTTCTTCTTCACACAGCGTGTTGTCAACCTGTGGAACTCCTTGCCAGAGGAGGCTGTGAAGGCCAGGACTATAACAGAGTTTAAAGAGAAGCTGGATAAATTCATGGAGGTTAGGTCCATAAAAGGCTAGTAGCCAGGGGATAAAATGGTGTCCCTGGCCTCTGTTTGTCAGAGGCTGGAGAGGGATGGCAGGAGACAAATCGCTTGATCATTGTCTTCGGTCCACCCTCTCTGGGGCACCTGGTGCTGGCCACTGTCGGCAGACAGGCTACTGGGCTAGATGGACCTTTGGTCTGACCCAGTACGGCCGTTCTTATGTTCTTATGTGGGAGGAAGATTCACATGGCCTTGTCCTAGTCAGACATCTATGGGGTTCGGATGGCAATGGCTCTGAGTTTTGAGCTAAGTATCTGCTGCCTCCTCTCCCCAGTTCCTGCCTGTGCCCCGCATGGCATTCAGAAGGTTACAGCATCTCTGGGAACCCAGAGCTTTTCTCCAGGAGCACTGTGTTTTCCTGGCAAGCAGTAATTGCTACATGTGTATTCCTCCTCTTGAGATGTTTTTAGCAGGTTTTATGTCCTTCTGAGGTCTTGTATTTTTGACTTTGTATATATATTTGTATTGCATTTTTTAAAAATTTGTAAGCCGCCTCGAATATTTTAAATAGAGGGGTGGGGTAAACATTTTATGTAAATAAAATTGCTTTAATTAGTTAATTACAATTCAGTAGCTCTGACTCTGAAACAGTCAGCACCAGACCCCTGGTAGGAAGCTGTGACAGGGTGGACTAAGCCCTGAGGCCCCCTGCTGGAGTCCTGCCACACTCTGCCCCAGAAAAGGGACAGTAGAGAGGTCCTCCAAGCAGGCTAGAGTGGCTGGATGGGAAGCAGCCAATAAGGGGCCAGGAAGGCCCATAAAAGGCTCTGCAGAATGGAGCGGTAGTTAGTTGCTGTATAGTGACGAAGGAATGGAGACTAGCCAACTGGTTGGGAGACTAGTAGTGCAGTGGACAGCTCAGTGTGGAAAGATCACAGTAAATAGAGCCCTGCGGTAAACGCAAATTGCACAAGGCCATGGGAAGTGGCCCAGAAAATTAAAGCACCAAGTGACACATTTCCTTTGGAGTCTTAGTACAGCGCTGTCCCTTGGTGCTGTGCACAGTGGAATTAGCCCAGGGCAGGTTCACACCTGGGCCCTGGAGGAGGTGGCAAGCAATCCTGTCAGCCCACTGATTTCTTCCCCTTAGCCTGTCATCTCTCCATGAGTGCCTTCCAGCGACTGACAGCAGAGGGGGAATCTGAGGGAGGTTTGTCGGCCAAGCACGCAATGCGGGCAGGCAGGGAAAAGAGAGATGTGGCTGGTTCTGATGAAATAACAGGTCAGAGAGAGAATCAGAAACAGGCCCAGGCCCCTAGTGCTTTGTTCAATGCTGATGGAGATAGTGAGAGCAACTCTGTGTGTGATGGGGACACCATCAGGGCTGTAGCTGAGGCGAATGGGGGGATGGGAGGAGAGGAACTAGGCCAGATGTGCAGGCAATAATAGGTGCTAGGTGGAGTCAAAGAACAATGAAAACACTAGGAAGCGACCTGGGAGGCAAGTCCCTGTTCCCACCTTGCTCCGTTTCTTCCTGCGCTGGCCACAACTTGGTTCCATTCAGTCACCTCTGGCATTTCTTGCCCCCTCCTCTTCACACCCCGTCCCACCATACAGCCTCATCCTTTAGCGCTGCAAACGGCAGATCTGTCTGAGTCAGCCATATGAGACAACACACAGACCGAGCGCCCAGGGACTCCAGAAGTGTCCAGTGGCTGCAGGAGGCTTGGTGTTTCTGGATCCAGGAGAATGAAGTGTTGTATCCTCCAGTGTGGTCCTGGTATTGCCCTCACCTCTGCTTTTCTCTCCTTGGTGGGAAAAATATATCATTTCGCCATCTGTGCTTGCAGGGGCATGGGTGCTCCCAGGTTTAGTATAAATCCCAAGGACCCACCCAATCAGGGTGGGAGAGGAGAGATATGTGTGAAGTATGCAATCAAAATGATTGGGGGGCTGGAGCACATGACCTACAAGGAGAGGCTGAGGGAGTTGGGTTTGTTTAGTCTGCAGAAGAGAAGAGTGGGGGGGGATTTGAGAGCAGCCTTCAACTTCCTGAAGGGCGGTTCCAAAGAGGATGGAGAGAGGCTGTTCTCAGTGGGGACAGATGGCAGAATGAGGAGCAATGGGCTCAAGTTGCAGTGGGAGAGCTGGATATTAGGAAAAACTATTTCACTAGGTATCCCAGAAGAACTCCGCCGCGTCCAAGGAACACGTTTGCTCTTCTGCTTTTTTTTTGTGGAAGAACAAATGCGCTCTTTTGGAGAGCCCTGTGTGCCTCGTTCTAGACTGGGCCAAATGGCAGAAAAGTGATCTGAAAAAGCTACGCAAGTTGCAGAGTGCAATTTGCATAGATTTTTCCGACAAAGGACTTCATTGTAGACCTAGCCTAGGAGGGCGGGGAAGCACTGGGATGGGTTCCCTAGGGAGGTGATGGAATCTCCATCCCTAGATGTGTTTAAGTCTCGGCTTGACAAAGCCCTGGCTGGGTTGATTGAGTTGGGGTTGGTCCTGCTTTGGGCAGGGGGAAGGACTCGATGACTCTTGACGTCTCTTCCAGCTCTAGGATTCTGTGATTCGATGCACTTGGAATTCTGGGGTTCTGCGGTGCCCAGGCTACGAGGCAACCGTGAGCAACGTGCTCGCTGGCAGAGAGGCAGGGATGGTGGCAGTGACTTCACAGTATTGACACCAGTCCACATGGTGTTGGACTCCCAGCCCACCCTGTCGCCTTCAGTGTCTACGAGGACTTCATGCCCCACCGCAGACTCAATGGGCAAAGAGAACAGCTGGGATAAAATGACCAAGGAACTCAGAAGAGATGGCACAAGGGATATTAAAAGGGCTCCTCCTGGCCAGCACCCCCACAGATGCCCCAAGGGCTTAATCATAGTGTGGTCATACTGAGGCACCCCCCTCATGCACCAGGATGCCAATGTGCTAGGTGCTGCCCCAATACAGCAGGGAAAAAATGGTCCCTGCTCTTCACCCCCGTGCCCAGCGGTGTTGCGAACAGGCTGCTGCCTGAATTAGCTCAAAGGGAAGGAGCAAGAGAGTTCTCAGCAAAGTTGAGAAGCATTGAACCAGCCCTGGCGCGCACAGGGTTAGATCAGCCTTCTCCTGAGGGCTCTGTCCCTGGTGCTGAACTCCTCCAGTGCCCATGGTGTAGGGTGGGATCTCTGCTCCCGTGGAGCAGGGTTAGGCCCATGCTGAATAACGTCACTGGAAATGTTTTCCCAATTCTCTCAGCTCTGCCCTGCTTTCCTGTGGACAGCTTGCCCAGGGGCTGCTCCAACTTTGCCCATGGGCAGCTACATGAAGTCACTCCATGGACTTCAGTTTACTTAATAAAACATCCACTTTATTGTTTAGTTTTTCACAATCTCTTGGGTGAGGCCACTGAAACTGGTCCCCGCGGGCCGTACACAGCGCGTAGACTACAGGGGATGCTATTTACAAAGGAGCCATGCCATCGAATTACCGGCTGTCCCTGGCAGCCTGCGGCTCTAGAGCCTTCACAGAGACTTGCTTGCTACACAGGAACTGGAAAGAAATGCTTAAGCGAGAAATTCCTGCTTGCTGAATTATATGGTAAGAGCGAGGGCGAGAGATGTAAGGGGCTGGGAATGCACACGGATTGCCACAGATGTCAGGAAAGCGCCCTCCTGAGCCAGCAAAGCACTGAGATGGCATGGAGAGGCCTGGGTTAGGTGGCTGGGAGTCCCGCCCATGAACCAGTGGATGGATGTGAGCCTTCCCCCTCACCTCAGTTTGGATCTGGACTGGGACTGAGTCACCCTTGAAAGGTTCCAGTCGTCTCAGTGGCCAGGAATGTCTGAACCTGGGAACTGTGCACCATCAGGCTCCCCTGATTCCTTCCCACCATCACCTGCTTCTGCCGTGTCTGGATGCACAGAGGGGCCAGCCTCTGTGTTGGGCCATTGCTCTCTGCTTCCTGATGGAAATGAGAGAGGGGTCGGAACGGGACTGGGGGAGGAAGGAATTGGAGCCTGGAGAGGGGTTAGGCCAAGGTTAGTGCTGGCTCAGGTTTAATCAAAGCTTGTTCATCTCTCAGCCTTGGTGGCTGGAGCCCTTCCACTCCTGTGCCAGTGCCGCCGAAGAGCAGTTAAACCCTGGATCGCTGTGTTTAGAATATACAGGGGAGCCCGTGGAGCTGGGAACGACCCCTTGAAAACGTGGCAATGGCGCATCCCGTCACTTGGGCCTGCGCGGGCCAGCAGGGCTCATGCATACTGCCAGACAGACCAGAGGGTGCCCAGCGTGATGCTGTAGGCCAGCACGGCCACCAGGTACGCCCGGAAGAGCAGCACGTCCAGCACGTAGCCCACTTGCAGCCACTCGCGGGCGATGTCCCGGAACTCGTCACGCTTCTCCAGGAACTGGCGGATGGCCGCGATCTCCTGCAGGATGCTGTCCGCCACCGGGGAGCTCTCTCCTGGCACCGGGGAGGCCGG